AAACATCGATCTATGTGTGGATAGATGGATGGACAGTCTGAATGATCAGGTATGTCTAGGCAGAAGGGAGTGTGCCCATGACCATGTGTAGGGTTGGCAGATGATGTTTCTACAAGTGTATTTGTATGTGCTGTAAGAATTTCTGGGTACAGTAGAACTGACAAGGGACAAGGTTGTGGTGGCTCAGGAGTATGGTTGCAGGGGACATCAAGCTCAATTGGCATAACATACTACACAGGAACATTGTTCTACATCCTACTTCGGTGAGTAGCAACTGGGGTTTAAAGCTTGCAGCTGGCCATCTAGATTCAGTGATGGGTCTCTCCTCATCCAGAGCATGGAAAAATGAAGAAAACCAAAGACACATGGAAACAGTTAGTCCAAAGGAATAGTAGACCGTGCAATCCTCAGCCTATATGACCATTAGACCAGAAGAACTAGATGGTGCCCAGCTACCACCGTCAACTGCTTGGAGGGGGAAGAATAATGTGCAACAAAACTCAAAATCATAAAAAAAAAAAAAAGAAAGAAAAGAAAACCAGATTTACTGGTCTAATAAAACCTGGTGAGACCCTTGAGACTATGGCCCCTAGTTACCCTTCAGGTCTGGAACTGACTCCCTTCTGTGGCTTCCAGCTAAACAATAGGCAGTCATATGGGGTGAACATTTACATCAAGTAGATACACTCCTTAGAGCGATCAATCGTGGGAGAACAGAAGGGCAGTATTTATACAGGGAGACAGCTTGGGGGCGGGGGTACATGGGAGGGAAGGACAGAGGGAAGAGGTAAGAAGAGAGCTGTTACATTGTGGGAAATTGCAGTCAACGTCATGAAACAAAATGTATGAACTGCTGTATGGAAAATGAGTTTTCTTTGTAAACTTTCACCCAAATTACAATAAAAAATTAAAAAAAAAAAGACATTTGACATTTCAAGATCTATCCTGAAGTGCAGTGCTGTCAGTGATAGGAATATACATACGCCCACAAGGAAGACCAGTCAATACATTGCTGTTGTTGTTGTTGTTGTTAGGTGCTGTCAAGTCGTCTCTGACTCATAGCAACCCTGTGCACATAATGAAACACCGCCCTGTCCCACGCCAGCTCTGTGATTCCTGCTATTCTTGAGCCCATCGTTGCAGCCACTGTGTCAGTCTATCTCGATGAAGGCCTTCCCCTCCTTTGTCAACCCATCACCTTACCAAACATGACATCCTTCTCCAGGGAATGGTCCCTTCTGATAACAC